AACTCTTTGAATTTCAGTTTATGTGAAATAACAAGATCATTCTTCATCCACTTGAAAGTGCTACAAGATTTCTAGTGACAGTAGTTTGGTATCCTATGTCTGTTCTGATTGCCCTGTCTGTGTCCCCACATGCAATATCAGGACGGTGGTTCAGTGCCAGCCCTCCACTGCAGCATCTTACAGGAGCTGTCTCTTCCCTAGACTTCTTCCTTCCTTCTTACTGGCTTGTATAGTCCAAATTAGTCTTCAAGATTCAAAAATGCTTTTACAGGAAGTGGTATGGATTTAGGACAACAAATGATAGCTTTGTTGTTTTTAAAATGCACATAAAAATGGGTTAATGGAAGCAGTCTAGAAGGTCTAAAAATATCCTGACTGATTTTTTTTCCTTTTCTTCTTTTCCTTTCATCCCAAACACTGATAGGCCTCCTTTTCAGCCAAAAATTTCGTTTGACATCTCACATTATACTGTATCATGTAAATGCACACGGTTTAAGGCAATACTACCTGAGGCATCCCTGCCCATTACTCTCAGAAATCAGATGCAAGTATTCTCTCCACCTTTTTGCCAGACAGCACACATACAGAGTATTAGTCAGAGACACCTTTTTATCAGACCATCACCTGGGATAAAGGTAATGGCAAAGGAAGGCCCTTGAATATTTCTACCTGGGTTGCTTTGAATTCATCTTAAAGGTTGTTGAGAGCATGAGGACAGGGAAAGGCAAGAGATGGAAGAGATTAAAAATTAAGAGGATGAGAAGGGCAGGGAACAAAAAGAAGGTGGCCCACACTTAAAATGTCCAGTCATCCATATAACATGACAAAATGAAGACAGTAAGACAGCTTTTCAGCCCATTTATCTTCTGTAATTGCCTGCATATCCGTGCTGTTCTGCAGAAAATGTGCACTGTTCTTTTGCACTTACACGTAAACAGCTCTGGACTATGAACAGAAATGGAACAGGCTTTAGTAAAAGCCAGTCAAGATTATCTGAAGTCCTTTTAGGAGGCTTGTTTCTGTATGGGCATCATTTCAAGAAGGGAAGTCACTGGTTAGTGTTACGGAACATATAAGCATACATGCTTACTTTAAAGGTGAAAAATCCCAACAACTATGTAACAGTGTTTGCCATAGTAAATAGCTGTACTAAAAAAAAAAAAAAAAAAAAAAAAAAAACCACCAAATACTATCTGCATTAATTTTATTAGTCATGAAAATATTTTTTTTACTCAGATTTCTGTGTTTCCTTTAAGACAAAAAGTTCTATTTTGTATTTTAAGAAGCAGCACAAATTATAAAGGGATTGCTATGTCCTTGCAAAATAGAGGAGGAGCGTAGCACATCTTTAAGAAAGGTTAATTCAATAGAAGAACATACTGACACATAATTTACATGAGATTGTGGAAACTGCGTTTACTTTAATGGTAAAAGGAAACTATGAAGTGTTGCTCTAAAATAAATTTAGAAAAAAACCCAAAGAAAATACATAGAGAACCTTATAATGACTATCAAGATTATCTGCTGTGGACACACGATCTCTCAAGAACAAATGCATTATAAGTTCATGCACTTCACCTTAGATTTTTGAGCACACAATTTAAACACAGAAGCCACAAAAATAAATTGCAAAACATTTTGAAATAGTAGCATCCATATAAGAATACTAAAAACTAAAAATACCTGAAAACTGATGTCCATCATATGTCAATAAAGATGGGATATTTATTTTATTTGCTTTAAAGACTAGCAAGCATCCATAACTTGATCACTAGTAATGTGTATTAGATACTTTCTTCTGAAAGCTGAATTTTCACTGTAGGGTGAGTCAGCAATGATTAATGGTTGATCCTTTGTATTGGGATAATGAAAAGAACTATATTTTTCAGTATATTGATGAAAATGTGGAATTATTGTGAAGACAGAAATTGCAAAACTACTTAACTTTTAACCTACTAGCTCATAATCCATCCCTAAAAATCAGATAAGCTCCTAGAAACATGTAACACCCATATGGTATTTCAGAACACCCGTAGTTGTAAATTTGACTTAAAAGAGAAAAAGTGGTTGTTGGTGAAGAAAGCCTCATAATGATAAGCAGTCTGCTTTAATGTAGGTAGAGAGAAGAAAGGGCAGCAGAAACTTCCATGATAAAATACAAATGCTAAATGGACAGTTTCAGCGGCAGACTTTTGATTGCTTTTGTCTGTCCCCAAGACAATATATCTATGCCAACAGTACAGCAGCACCTAGATGAGTTCAGTCAAGATCACTGTAGTTCGCAGTCAGTGCATGCTCACTCTAGAACTGTCTAAAGGGATGAAAGTCTTAACAGCAACACAGGAAGATCACAGACAAAGAAAATTTCATTTCAGCATGAGCCAGTAAAATGCCTGAGCAACAAGAGAAGAAAACTGGGAAAATAAAATTAACTTCTTGAATATGACTGCAAAATTCCTGC